GTGTGTGTGTGTGTGTGTGTGTGTGTGTGTGTGTGTGTGTGTGTGTGCGCGTGGTGAGCTGAGGGATGCAAAGGAAAGGATGCAAACCAAAGTCCTTGCTTCTCATCCAGATTGACCTACAGGGATTTAGAGTTCTCAAAGGTGACTGTCTTGTTGCAGCAGCCATCCACAGAAAAAAAAAATGAATAGATGCTGACTGCCTTTTTATTTAATTAATATATTTATTATTGTTTCAACAATGCACACCGAGAAGCATGAGACTGCTATCAGCGCAAACACGCATCAAGTTTATGTCGGCATTATTAATAAAGTAAGACGAGAGAGGGAGAAAAAAGGTAATGACATCGTCGAGGTTGTTTAAAGGACTGAAGGCAAAGCTTTTGTGGGGGGAAAAAAAAGAAAGCCCTGCACTTTTCATGTTGTTGTTTGAAGGTAATTGAATTCCTTATTGACTTTTCTCAATTCTATTTCAAGTTTATTAAGCCAGGCAGAATTGCCTAATGCGGACCATTAAAGCGAAATTAATATTTAAAAAAACAATTCTGGCTCCGCAAGATTGCATTTCATTATAAGTATGGCATTGATTAAAATCCGTCACCACTCATTTAGCTCGCCCTACCTGAATTTGCCATAACAAAATAATTAATGAAACCCAGATGTGTATAACATCTAATCAATTGCCAACAATAATTAAAAATGAACTTTGTTTTTTTCTTTTCAGAGTAGATCTCAAAGATTCTGACTTTTTTTTTCTGTGTGAGTGTGTGTGTCTCCCAATTAACGCATCCTTTGTGTTGCCATCACAAATGAATTGCCCATGCTCGAGTAAATTTTCTTTTTGAACAAACAGCTTGACCTCTAAGTGTTTGTTGGCATAACAAAGGATATAAGTGGCAGGTAAAAGAGTTTGTAAGAGTTGGAGTAGTGATGAGGTGTTACCTTTTCCCTGAGCTCTTTATTTGTCCATCTCATTTCAAAGAGATAATAACCCAGCAAAATTTGACTTTGACTCCCTGAATATCTCATAGTTATAGACCCCCATGCAGGGCCAGGTGTTAAAACTTTCTTTGAAAAGATATCCAATGAAAAGAAATGAGTAGACGGCATATTTTACGAAACAGAGCTGTCACTTTGTCCACTTTTCAGTAATCCATTCAAATTCAAAGGTTGTACTTTGTAAGTGCTTCAGACCAAAGGCTGTATAAGATGATGCACCAGACCATTGGAAATGGGGATCCAGCAAAGACTAAGCTAGTGTAACCTTAGCCTTAACCTTAACTTTCAGGGGAAAAAGCTAATGTTATTCAATGCTACGCCATATTAAATATGAACAACACTTGCAAGCAAAGCTGTGCTGCCAAATACTACACCAAATAATCCACAAAGCTGTGTTTGGAAGGTTTTTCATTTTAAACCATCTGTGCCATTGTAAAAAACAAAAATAGGCTGCTTGTTGGCTGTTCACAAAGAAGCTTAATCTATATTTACAATGAACCTGCATATTCACATGCCTGCTTGAAACCCAAATAAGATGTTTTAAGGTGTTGAGACCCATCTGACATCCTGTTATTCAGCACATTCGGCAACAGCAGGACTCTTGCAATGGGTTCTCAAGTATGTATACTAAGGTTGTTAAAAATACTTGTCTTAGTGTTTGAACATGCCAAGCTAAGACCAAATATATAGTTTAATTCCATGGCAATATAAAAGATAGAACCAATTATGCTTTCTTAAAATTCACTTCCCTAAAAGACTTCTGTCAAATTCTTCTTTCATCCACAGTAAGGGCAATGGGCGTCTTGCCAAGTAACTCCAGGATATTAATTGGCCAAGATTACACCGCTCATATAGTCAATAGCTTAAGGGCAGAAAGATTAAGTGAAGAGATGAAGGGTCACAATGAGAAAACGTATCCATGTTTTTCCCCTTGGCCCAAGTCCTCTCCATTTCCAACCACAAAGTATTTCCCTGACACGGAAATACTGACTTGTATGTAATTATGAGGTTATGCTACCCACAGCAGTCCGTCATTCCAAGCACCAACACCTGCCATTATTTATTCATTGTTATTCCTCCACCAGAAAGTCACTGTAATTAGATATTGATTACATCGTCAATGTGATGAATTAAGCAAAATACCCCCTAATGTCTTCATGCACTATACATAGTTTCCCTTGCATAAACTATGCCTGAAATGTGAAGTTTCACAGCCTTTTCTCGTTTTTCCTCAGTTTTCCAGACTTCATTTCCATTGTCACGAACATACTCTTGCACAGCAAACAAAGTCGCACAAATTACATACAATGCCTCTCCAGTGTCTTTAAAAGGGTCTATAGATACTATCTATCTGCTCGTCCATGTCTGCCCTGGCCCCGTTGTATATGCTGTTTCTTGAAACAATGATTTGAGTCATGCCGGACATGTTCGTGTCTCCAGTTGTCTGTGTCAACTACCACGTAGTCCCCCCCCACCCTCCCCTTTAGACAACCTGTTAAGTCCATCACACAAAGACACATGAATAACCCCTGGTTTCTCTCAATTGCACGCAGTTCGGCCGAATGTCTCGTCCCTAGGTGTCGCTAACCGAAAAGAAGGTAGGCATCTAAAGATTACGCAACAGTTATGTTTTTCCACAGATTCATTTGACTCAGGTCTTTTGTATTCTAATCAAAAACTGGCTCCTTGGTAGCCAAAAAGGTTTTGGGTAGCATTGTCCCTGTTCTAAGACGTTCAGACGAGCCGAAAGGCATGCTCAGTCTGATTTTCTCGCTCATTACTGAGAATTACTGGACGTGGATGCTTGAGTATTCGCAGGGCACTTGTGTTGCAACACGATGCATTTGCCATCATTATCCTCTCTAAGATCAAATGCGTGGCCTACGCGCGTGTGCATAAACATAACTTTTATTAGGTTTAAAGCTTCCAAAGCAAATTCTGTATAAACTAATCAGAAAGAATAACAAAAGAGTTTTCACCGTGTTTTTATATGGATACTGATGTTCATCTTTAGTTTAATCTATCATGAAGATGTGATGGAATCAAAAAGCTAGGAGGGGTTGATGTCCTCTCGTCTAGACAGTTTCTTTACCTGTCAGTGCTACTGTACAAACTTAGTGGGAGAGGATTCTTAGGCAGTCTCCCCTGAGGTGGGGCTGTGTTCATCACCGTAGAATAGTTTTTGTCTGGGGAAACATGCCGAAGCTTTTGAATCATACAAAGCGTTTGTTAGTGAGACGAAGCATAAAGGAGAGATCATAATATTTCAGTAGTTCATTATCTAAGGCATTTGTAACAGATGCTGCTGCTAGCAGCCAGCTTCATTTGGCAGTGTCACTCTTTATTTCCCACAGGCATCATTCATCATTATTGCATATGTTTCTTTTTATTACTATTTTCATTAGGCATGATGCCTGGTATTTTTGATTATCTTAACATTACATGTGCTTTATTTAATTACAAATCACCTTTTTTTTTTTCTTCTTTTAATTTGTCTAGTAGCACCTCAAGTGGCATTGTCCACTGCCCCTTCTGTCCACGTTGCAAACAGCAAGCGAGGTAGGAGCCCTAGAATTCATCCATTGCCCCCAGAAGAAACTTAGTCCTTTTTCACTGTTTGTTTCTGTTTACCTGTTCCTCCTGACCCTTGTAATACTAACACATTTCTAGAGCACCATGTGTCTATAACTTCAGGTCAGCGTTCCACTGATGACTTTTAGCGTAAAACGCACATCGAGGGCTCACTCTTCTATGGAATAGTCTCCTAAACACTATAAAAGTCCCTTGGAATCATTTATTTTTTTCAGTTGAAATAAAGTGGGCATTTCAGCTACAACTATTTTTGGGGGAACATGTTTCTGAGTCTTTTTATTCCCCAGCGTGCATGATTTATGACCTTACCCTATTTCTAGAAAGGAGAGATTATTTGTCTTCTGAGAGTATGTCTGTGAGAGTGAAGCGTCTAATGTAGAGGATCTTATCGCACGCTCAGACAGTACTTGCTGATTTAGAGTGGACTTGGCTTTCTGCTCCTTTATTTCAAACCCATGCCAGGGGCTGGAGAGAAAGAATTGACCTCAATAAAGATTCTTAATAACGGCAATCCATTGGACAGAAGCCTCATCTGCAAGCCACCCTATTCTTGAGCCTTGAGAATGCTGTCAGTCCAGACAGTTGCCAACAAGGCTTAAGGGTCACATCTGTCTGTGCTGTGCACATGGTGTCAGTGGTCTCTTAGTGCAGCTGACTGATCTACACTTGGAGAGTGCTGAGTTAGGCCTGCTCTCCTCCCAACCCTTCTGCCTCGGGGTACCACTGCCACTGAGTGTCATAGAGTATCATAGGCTCTGCATTCCATCCTCAACTCCAGATGTCCAATTAAGCATGGCATAACACAGCATAGCATCACCATATGCTTTTCACACTGTAGTGAGTATTCATAGAAAACAGCGTTCTCCAAGTAATGCATAGTAAGTAATTGAAAGCAACTCAAAGTTTTATTACGAAGGGCTGTGATTCAAAGCGCCATTGAAATATTCATTGCATAATTTCCTTCTGTTACCTGAATCAGAAAATCAAGACATTTAGTACTCAGATACAGAAAAACGTTTGATTTCCCCCCACAACAAGTGGTGAACGGATACATTTCACCCATGGTTTGAGCTGCCCTACGCTTTGTGGTGTTCCAAGTGCGTTCATGTCTCTGTGCCATCATTTCGGAGCCTTCCTCGCCTCTTGTTGTGGTGTGCTTGAAGTGATGTGACCTCTTGAAATCCTACTAACAACATGCTATTTTGTGTGATATCCGCCTCTAACTCTGGCTTTGCCTTTGCCAGACTAATCATCGATTTACCAACTAGGAAATCCCCCCTCCATCATGCAGCATCACCATTTCTTACCTCGCATGCCACTTGCGCTTCGCTTAGACTTTTGCTAGCCCCTCCGCTGTAGCATTCGCAGCACCAACATTTCTACCGCGCCTCTTTCTTTTTCCCCTCTCTCTACCCTCTTTTCCCTACACACTTCCTCTCCGTTTGCAAGACTGCGAATGCTTCGGCCACTCCAACCGATGCATCTACATGGAGGTGCTAAACACCGTCATTTGCGTGGGCTGTAAGCACAACACTAGGGGCCAGCACTGCCAGCTATGCAAGCTGGGCTACTACCGCAATGCCTCAGCAGAACTGGACGATGAAAATGTGTGCATAGGTTAGTCCCCAACCTGCCCCCCACCCCCGCCCAAAATTTCGTTACCATGCTTTCACACTTTCCTTGCCTCACCTTCTGTCTTTACTCCTCAAAAGAGAATGTGTCATTTCATCCCCTGAAGCTGCGTCATCCATACACACTCCTGTCTTCATATCCCTGTTGCCTTCCTTGTTGCTTTATTTGTTTTGGCTCATCAATTCCATAAACCTAATTTCTACACTCAGAAATAGTTTTTCTTCAAACAACGCAAATCACTGGGAAGATATATTAAAAGTGTTCATATACTCAGAGTTTATTTATTCTAGCTGCTAGCATAACTTAGTGATTTAAATTTGTTACAAGTGTTACTTTTAGCGAGGTTGTATTCTAATGGAAAAGGGGAATCAAGAAACATTGCAACTCATGTATAACAATAATATCTACAAAATCTCTTAAGTATAGAACTGAGAGAAAATACTTGATACTCAGAAAAATACACATTTTCCTTAATCTCTGTAAAAGTTAACTATTTCTTTAAGATCAGAGAAGTTAAATGTTTTCTCATCTTTGCTATGCAGCTGCAGTTTTCCATCATCTTTTATTCTTCTTTGTCATTTTTCATTTCTATACAAGTATTATC